GGCAGAGGCGGCGGTTGACTAGCGAAAAGCTCGCCAACAGCGAGGTCACCGGCGGTAGCGTCACCACCGACGTGTTCCCCATACTATTCCACACCTATAGGTACCCTTGGTTTGCTCGGAGGATCACCGGAGCTAGCTCGGCGACGACGCACTGCGGTGAGTCCATCGTCTCCGGCGACGGTGAGCCTAGGCGAGCACTGCTACGGCACCTAGGAACCCTAGCGAAGCTCTACGACGTGAATTAGGTCAGGGTGGAGCGACGACGAAGCTTGGCCACGTGCATGGCAGCACGGCGGTGCGTGTGCTGGCGTTGGCTCAATGGCCAGCGGTGTGACTTAACCCTAACCCTAGACTATCCCTAACAAGCGAAATGCGTGAGCGAGATGACTTGGTAGAGCACAGCCATAGTGAGAACAAGCTCGACGGCGCTCCGGCGAGGGTGCGGCGACGGCGGACTTGCCCTTAGGCGTTTACCTTGGCTCGGGCTAAGGCGATGAGTGGTCAGCGAAGTGGAGGGGGAAATGGCCGAGCGGTGTGCATGAGCTATTGGGGAATGGTGCTGCGACGGTGGCGCGCGAGCTCGGCGGAGCTCGGCGGCGATGGCGCGGTTCATGGCGGCTTTCCTCTGGCACGGCGAGAGAGAGGTGAAGTGAGGTAGAGGGGTGCGAATGCGGGCGAGCGAGGGAGGGCAGCGGCATCGCGCGGCTTTGTTGCCCACGTCGGCCTGACTGGTGGGGCCAGCGCCAGCGTACGGACACCACGCGGCGCGCGCAGCCTACGCCGGTCGGCCACGACGCGCGCGCGGTGCCGATTCAGACACCGTTGATCCCGTGGTGATTTAGCAAAAACTTTGTTAATAGAAATTATAGACCTATGTGAGTACTACAAGATTGCTTAAAGGAGTTTTGTCTAATTCGCAATGGTTTTCAAACTACAAAGCTCTAAAGTGAGGTACTTTGAAACTAAAAACAGCCTCAACACAGAAAAAATTCTCAAGTCACCAAACCACATTTTGTTGATACTTGTGAGCTCTATTTGACCATGTTATGCACTGATTGAGCTCATGACCCTTAAATAAAGTTTGTTACCCTTGATGTGAACTACAACTTTTATTTAGGTCACACAGCCATGCAAAGAATCTAAGCTACTGTTCAACTTTGGTCAAACGAGTATCATGAAAATGGCATTTCAAATGAAACCAACACTTAGAAGCAAATTTGGTCTATGTCATGAATATAAACATTATTCCAATTACCATCCTAGATGTGTCTAAGGTGTTTTCATGACCTCACAACCATCTCATGCATTGGTCACATTTGATCACAAGCATAATTAAGTATATGAGCAACATCCCATGTGATAAAGAGAAGGTAAATGAAATGAAACTTCATATGCTCATGATCATGAATGAATGGATGATGCTTGTGCTCATGAAATGCAAATGCCAAATGCAATGCCTAACACTATGGTGTTATACACTAGGTTGCTATGTCAATGAAAATGGCCAAGAGAGTGAGCAAGATCTAGCCATGGGGCATAAATAGGAGCCCCCACGAAATAGAGTCGTTGGCTCTCTGTCAGCACTGAAATCAGGGCGACCAGACATGCCAGTCAATCCGACCAGACACACGCTCACCAGCGTCAGGTCGTCGGATGACAGCCATGTGTCTCCCGCTTTGAACTATGCCCGTCGATCCCCAACGGTCGACTACACCCGCGCCTACGCTCAAGTGATGACAGGACGCGCCGGCACATGACCTGACGCGCCCGCGTGGAGTCCGATCGCGTGATCGCCAACACCACCGAGTCTCTGACCTGACGCGCCAAGAAGATGACCGGACGCACCCCTAGGCCGAGTCTGGTCACATCCAGTAAGGGTCTAGAGATTATTTTTGTCGATCGGACGCGTCTGCTCGGAGATGATCGGACGCACCCCTGCATCAGGTCTTCACCATGCTCGCTCAGTCACCCACGTCAGTGTACGTTAACAGGTGACCGAACGCACCCCCTGCGTGGCTGGTCCCTCTTTCTCTTCAGCGTTCGGTCGTGAACCAGACATATCCCGAGCGGCCAACTTCAATATAAATGACCGAACACACCACCACCAAGTCCGATCACTTCGGGAGCCAGAGTCTGGTCACTGAAAATAGCACCTCCTCTTCTACAACTTCACCACCCTTGATCAAATGTGCTAACCACCAAGTGTTACACCTTGTGCACATGTGTTAGCATATTTTCACAAACATTTTCAAAGGTGTTAGTCCTCACTAGAATCTAAATGCATATGCAATGAGTTAGAACATCTAGTGGCACTTTGATAACCGTATTTCACGACGAGTTTCACCCCTCTTAATAGTACGGCTATCTATCCTAAATGTGATCACACTCGCTAAGTGTCTTGACCACCAAACCAAAAAGCTCCTATGGAGATCACCTTTGCCTTGAGCTTTTTGTTTTTCTCTTTCTTCTTTTCCAAACCCAAGCACTTGATCATCACCATGCCATCACCATCATCATGATCTTCATATGCTCCATCATTTGGAATGTGCCACCTATCTCATAATCACTAGAGTAATAGGTTAGCACTTAGGGTTTCATCAATTCACCAAAACCAAACTAGAGCTTTCAACCTCCTCTGGCGTCAAGTTCGCGATTATCTTCAATGGCTACCATGAGGCTAAGTACTAGCTTATAGATCCATCAGTTTGGATCTAGCTATCCTAGCAGCAGTCTAGACCTCCTCGGTCCTCACTAGACGATGGCATAACATCTATAGTCCATGGGTAGTATGTAAGGACTCAATAGATTGTTTTTATAAGAACTTAGGACTAGGAGCCAAGTTGCTAAAGGGATTTAAAATTTGCATAGGCTATGTTTGTTGCATTGATTTTTTGGGGTGCAATTCAAACCCCCTATATTTTGATAAGGCAAATTTTGTTGTAGGGTGCCTCTCCTCACACGATAGCACAACCCCTCCCCCGCATCTCTATCCTCACGGCAGCGCGACCCCTCCCTAGCATCTCTACCCTCATGGCAGCGTGACCCCTACGGCCCTACCCTACACCTCTCCTTGTACAAAGAGAGATGTGGAGTAGGGGTCATGCTGCCATGTACATGGAGAGATGCAGGGGTCATGCTACCGTGAAGATAGATACGTGGGGTGGGGTCATGCTGTCGTGCGAGTAGGGATGAAAATGGTTAGAAATAGAAAATTATTGCCTCTAACCACTTTATGATTTCATAATTGAATCTAGAAACAGAAACAGAATGGGGAATACGAAAAACTAAAACAATTATGTTAGAAAATCGAGAACGGTACAATTGAGTCAGGAGCACATTGATAACGGTCGGAACCGATAATTCAAATCAGGAGCAAACTATATAAGATCATACAAGTCCAAAACATATGAGACACGGTGAATTTATCATCAGTGCGCATTACCATATATAGAACCATGGACTAGAAAATATATCTTTTAGTTGTCATGATTTACTTTTAAAAACAAAATTAGAAAGGAAAGAAATGTTAACAAATTGGCCAAAATATAGCTGCTGCTAGTCTCTGAGGCTTGTGAATGAATATAGTCCAAACTAGCCATTTGCCTATTACTATGGGCTTCCTACCTCTTGGGCCGCAACAAGCCTAAAACAAACAGAGCAAAGCAGCACTAGCATCAGCACCAGCACCACAGGCCATAGCGGCTAGCAGTAGCACTCAGAATTTATCCCACGTCGCTGGGGAGTGGGGAAGCCGGCTGATGGTTTTTGTGGCGGATAAGCTGGCTGATGCTATTTTGTTGTGAAAGAGAAAATATTGTACCATGACTGATAAGCCAGGTTGATAAGTTCAAGTAAACAGGGCGTAGCTATTGGTGGCTTTGGCGGCTTCTCCGTTGTTGGCACTGTAGCAGCACTATTTTATATATGTTGTTTTCTCTCTCCCCACAAAATAAACATAGAGCCGAAAAAAGCTAAAGGACTGACAGATGGGACCCACATGTCAGATGTATGATTTTTAAGACCACTTGCTCTAGTACGCGATTAATATTCTGCTAAAATTTTATATTATTTTTTTACCATTTTGACGACCTCCAATGGAACATCTTATCACTAAAAAGTTGTAAACCACATCGAGAGCCACAATTTTTGTATAAAAAGTATATTTATCCATCACCATACACGAGAGATGATTTTTCTAAGACGACCTGCTCTAGGGGGTGATTAATATGTTGTTCAAATATTCTATATTAACTTTTTTACCATTTTAATGATCTCAAATGGAAAATTATATAACTAAAAAGTTGTAGATGTCATCGAGGGCTACAATTCTCACATAAAAATCATCTTCATCCGAGTATGAAAAAGATACATTTAAAAAAAACGAGCCTTGCGGCTGGCATATGGTCCCCATCTGTTAGGTCCACGTAAACGCTTTCTCTGCATGCCACATCAGCTAACGAGTCAGGTAAGCGCCCATTTGAACCTGAATGAGACCTGAACTAACTTCAAGAACCAAAAAACCGCTATTTTGAAACTTTGGGAACCTATATGACATCCGAAGATAACTTTGGGGACTAGTAAAGCATTACACTATAAATGTTATATGTACATGGTTTTGGCTTAAGAGCCTGAGACTGCAAGGTAAACGGGATTTTTCGCGCATAAAAACCGGTAATTTTTCAGAAAAAAACTCTTCCCCTATTTTTTATCATGTTTTCGCCGGTTTTTCCTGTATTTTTACCTGTTTCCGATTTATACTGAAAGGCGTCTTTCGGTTTTCATCCCTACTGAGGAGAGGTATCCTACAGCAAAATTTGCCTCGTAAACAAGTCCTCAGCCTTATATAACTTAGAACTGGGTTGACCCACAGCAGGCCCTCATGGCCAGCCTGGCCACATTATTTGTTTTATTATTTCCAAACCGCAGGAGAACCCAGGCTAAAAATGCAACATTGACTTCGCCGTCCAGACCTACTCGGAGGCGATCAGAGCAGTTGCTTGTTACTGATGCTGTGATCGAAGCTGATGATCGAAGCTGATGATGAATGTGCGGATCTCCATTGGCCCCAGCTCAACAACAAGCTTGGAAGGATCCACAGGACCACCCCGGACCACCTTCTCGTCAGCAGCAGAACCTTGCACCTTCCATTTCAAGCGCTTCTTCTCCATGGCTGTGCGTTCTTGGTTTGCCGATAAGCTTGTCTCGATGATCTTGTCAATCTGGAGTGAGGGACCAAGAATCTGAGTTAGGAATGCTGTTGAAGACTATAATAAGTGTAAATCAAATAACAGTGTGTCGGAGAGGACCTTCTTCTCTGGGAACACTCTCTTGAGGTCGATACTCGCTAAAGTTGAAAGATCCTTGTCCTCCCCGGCCTATGTGCATAACAGCACAGGACAAGATTAAGAAAAGAAAATAGGATTTACCTCACCTGGAACAAGTGAGAGGAAGGACGACTGTGCAAAACCTCATATAGATGAGCAAACCGAAGGAGAACACTTCCATCTTCAAGCTCCTGTGTAATGAGCAAGCATTTGACAGATGTAACCAAGTTTAAACAAGTATATATACATGCAGTACTGCAAAGAAATAAATCCAGACAGCAGCTCTGCACTTGTCGCGATATATATCAAAGAGTGCATGGTTCCATGTCGTTTTTTGCCATCGATCAAACCAACCAGGACTGGGGCACCAATGCACAGAACATACTACTCTAGAAAAAGGAAAAATGAAGCTTCTAAATTCTAACAGCCATATGGGAACATTAACATAATAGTTATGTACTTTTCACTTTTTAGCACATTATATGGCGACAGTGGCATAAAGAGGCAGGTACCTGAAGGGTAAGCATTGCAACATTATCAGGCAAGCTGTAAGTTGAATCCATGGCAGAGAATTTTGCAACATGTGAATTCGCCCAGTTGCCTCCATCCTGGAAAACAAGTAGGTGCATGTTGAACAAAGGAACGACTTGTCCAACAATCATGTTAATATGGAAAGTTTTACCCCATACCTGCTCTGTGAAAGCAAGAAGGAGAGGGGAGTATATTTCCTGGCCAAATGTCCGACGCCACCGAGCTCCTTCTCCTTGTGGATCTATTTTGACATAGTATTTTCCTTCTATCTGTTCAAATTTCAAAGAGATTTTCCATTATTATTTCTGCATGAAACAGCATGCTTGCAGTCACAGTATAACAATTGATCTATTATGACACAATATTATCCTCCAATATGACTTAAATCTTAATTGTAATTATCAAGCTACTTTTGAGACACTGGCTTATTGTAGTTATCATGCTATTAATTTGATCTATCCTGACAAGTGAGATGTTTTCCACACCAAACAATTAAGATGTATTTATTCTTATACCAATACATCTAGTAAACAACTGACTTAAACTTCTATCTAAAATGGTATCAGGAAAATAGTCCTTTACTTACAATTAGTCCTTCACATTGCTTATCGAGACAGACTGTTTCATTTAGAGCCTCGGCAACGCCTTTCCCATCATCATGGAGTAGCCTCCTATACAGGGAGGACTGAGGGTTTAGTCACACGCAGGTAGACGACAAAAAGGAAGTACTCCCTCCATTCCAAATTGTAAATTGTTTAGGCTTTTCTAGATACATAGCTTTTACTATGTATCTAGACATAATTGATATCTAGGTACGTAGTAAAAGCCATGTATCTAGAAAAACCATAACAACTTACAATTTGGAACAGAGGGAGTACTAGATTATTACAATTATTCTATTCTGCGGATGGACCTGTGTAGCATTAGTTCTATTTGTCCATCCTTTATACTGGAACCTCCAATTGACCTGTCTACCAGTACAGACAACTCTTTGCTGCCATCCTCCACATAAATGCCAAGATTAACCTGAAAATATACACATAATAACTTATCTTTTTACAAATTGCCCCAACAGAAATTACATGTAAGAGTTGGAACAGCATTCTAATTTCTTAAGGATCGCTACCTCTTCTCACAACTACAGAGTGATAAGAGAACATTAAATAAACAGGTCCTGCACATGTTACACTTTCACCCCTTTTCATAATCATCAACCACCTCTTATGTAGAAAAATTTTGTAAAGATTGCTAAATCTAACTACTTTTGTCACAGTGCTGTAACACCCTAAAAATTGCATGATTTTGAAATAGGAGAATTTAATTTATTATGCATTTTTGTGAGCATTTAAATTTAGAAAAATAATAACTTTGTTAAAATTAAAACCAAATATAAGGTCTACATACATGTATGTGCATACATGCTGCTGCATATTTTATTTGTGATGCTTTGGTTTGATTGAAATTTGCAAAAGAACTTGAATTTGAGTTTAAATTGGATTTGAAAATGTGTTAAGAAAATAGAAAAGAAATTTTATTTTTTCCTCTCCATCTCTTGATTTTGGCCCGGGCAACCCAGCTCGGCCTGGCTCCCCGCGCGGCCTGCTCCCTCTCCCGCGGCGGCCCAACAGGCCGGCCCAGCGCCGCCGCGCTCTCCTCTCTTCCGCCCAGTGACGCTGACGAGCCAGTCCCGCGTGTCATCGCCTTCCCCTACCTCTAGCTCGTGTCCGAGCCGGACACCGAGCTCGCCTCCGCCTCCACTACGCCGCGCCTAGCGTGACCCGCAAGCCAGCCCCGCTCATAAATAGCGCCCCTGCGTTGCGCCGCCCTCACCTAACCCTAAAGCGCTAGCCGCTGCCCTTGCATTGCTCCAGCCGCCGCAACCCTAAGAGCGTCACCGTCGCCGTCCGCCCCATGGAGCCGCACGTCGCCGCAGACCCGCCCTCGTTCGCGTAAAGCTCCTAGGTGAGTTCGCCGTCATCCTCTCTCTCTCTCCCCGTGGTCTTCCTGTGTCCGTTGATGGCCGGAATCGTCGTATCGACGAACTCCGGCGAGGTCCGGACGAGTCCGGCAATGGCGCCGCCGCCTATGTCGCCGCCGGCGCTCTCTCTCTCCCTCCCGTCCAATCCGAGCCATCCAGATTCAATCCAACGCTCCCAAATAGATCATGCCGGTTCGGCCGGAATATTTGCAAAAGAGACCCCCTCCTATTCCCTAATCTAACCGCAGTCCAAAGCACGTTTACCAAATACGTCTTCTTTATTTAAAAGCGTATTTTCTTTCGGTTTAGATTCAAAATACGTTTTCATCTATTTACAGTTTTGCCACTAGTTTCCATAGGCCATAACTTTCATGTTTTAGCTCCGATTTGATCCGTTCAAGTTGCGTTAGGTTCGTAATTGAGTAATCTACATGTTCATACTACTGTTAGGTATATTTTCAACCTTTAAAATTGGAGGTTAGATTTAATCTATTATTTTAATACAGGAAATCTTGTTTAATTCATAATTTTTTCATTTTAGCTCCGATTTTCGTGATCTTCGCGTCTATGTGTTCATAGCGAAACGTAGATTCGTTTTACAAACTTTTCATCTTGATTTTATGCTGTTGGTGTACTGTTCTAATCTATAGTCATTATTTGTTTTGCATGATTGTCTCTGGATGCTTGTATGTTGCTGTGATTATCGAGTATAGACGATGAGCAATTCGTGGGTGGTCAAGAGTACTACTTTGACGAGCAGGATTAGCAGGAACACTTTGTTCAAGGCAAGTATAGCATGGCATCATCCTTTTTTCCTATCAACTTTAATACATTTAATTCATATTGCATGTGTCACCTTTATAGGGATTCCCTAGAATTGAACTTATACCTTGACTCCTATGGGATATGCATTGGGTAGTTTTGCTAGTGCTCAACTAAACCATGATCTTGTAACTTGACTAATGGTATATGCAATAAACATTAAAACATAACTTTTTAGCAACTTGGAAACAGGGGGCTGGAGTGTTTAGATTTCTCTCCCTAAGGACTTATCTGTAAGTGATCATCCGGGACTTACAGTACAGCTGTGATGGCCACATGGCTCAGACTTTAGCTCAGTATGAGGACCTTTTCTAGCTTGTTAATGGTTACCTATATTGGCGTAAGAATGGCTTGACGAATCGGGTATAGTGCGGCCTCTGTCTCCTTGAGTATAGGCTGCGCGTTATTGTGCCATCGGGAAGGGGGGCTCTACATCTGTTTACCGAGTGAATCTAATGGCCCTAACTTGTTAGACGAACCTTTGAAAGGCTTCATAGTGAACCCTGTCTGTTCACCTTGGAAATGTTTTGGGAGTTATAAACCCGGGCATATGGGTATCACGACTTACAGTGAAAGTGTACAACCTCTGCAGAGTATAAAACTGGTATATCAGCCGTGCTCACGGTCACGAGTGGCCTTGAACCCTTATGGAATAGATGATCACTAAGAATTATCCGTTTATGCTATTTATTATTTATGTTTACATTGATCATGTGTTTTACTATAGGATTAAAATAATATGTTGCTACTCATATGCTAAAATTGTGACAACTAAAAGCTAAATGCTGTTAAACCTGTGTCAAGCCTTTTGAGCCTCATGGACCCCATGTTACACTTGTTGAGTATGACACGTACTTACGCTTGTTTATTTTCATTATTTGGATAAAAATCCCGGATGAATAACAGATGGCTATGGTAATGACGACTTTCCTGAGAATTAATAGACTTGTGGTCAACCAATTGACGTCCCTGTGATATGGAGCTTCCGTGAGAGATTTTTTTCTTTATAATTCAGCTGCATTTATGTGAAGATTCTGTCTTATTATACGTGATGTAATAAATATTTGTGATGGTACTATCTATAATTTGTCGGCTTATGTGTATGACTGATTTCTGAGCGCACATAAGATTATGCATCCCATTTTGTCCTTAAAATCGGGTGTGACAAATGCACAGATAGTTGTTTGAGCTAATATTTTTATGTTGATGTTGCCATCTTTCAGTAAAATCAGTAGCCTTTGAATCGAGACCAAAATAGCCAATAAAATTTTCTATGAAACAGAATAATCATTTCGATACTAAATCAACTGAGTGGAAAATGCCACTCATGACTGCTTTTGGGAGTTGACTCAGATAAAAGGAAACCATTCTATTGATGTTATTGAACTTCTTCATTAAAAAAAACAGAGATAGTAAGCAAACAAAATCTCACAGGATAATAGTTTCCAGCAATAGGCTGGTGCACTTCAATCTTCCACTCCGATCGATAATCTCTTATCTGTAAAAAAATACCTCATGAAATAAAGCTTGAGATAATCTTACACCATTATGCCATGTATTTTCAGCATAGTTATCTATTATGCTATTCTTTAGTCCGTTACAGGTTCTAAACTAGAACAGGAATCACTAACAAAATCATTTCTAAAGAACTGTATATGCAAAGAACAAGGCTTTGTTGTTGTTGTTGTTGTTGTTGTTGTATATGCAAAGAACAACAGAAATGCTTTGTTGGGAGATAAAATAAATAAAAGGTTAAAAGTTCAAGTGCTGCAATACCCTTTTGATGAAATCGCGTCCACTGGAATCAGTGTAAAATGTTTTGTTTGTCGCCATGTTTGTAACAATTTCAGTTGCTAATTCTTTCCCATTTCCATCATCTACTGGTATAGGCCCAACCTATGCATGGGAACAATCAGTTCAGAATACATTAAAATCTTATGCAGTTATGCCAATAGAGACAATAGAAAACGTAGAAGCAAACTGTGACACAAAATGTAAAGTTTAAAAATAATCATCATTAGCAATGCAAAGAACATCTTATTGGGAGATAACTCACTATAAATTCAGTTTCCACATAGTCCTTCCCCTTGTAAACTCTGGTAATCTGCAGAAAGAAAAGAAGAATTAGTAACAAGAGCATATTGGATAATCACTAGTTGATCAACCAAGAATCAAAAATCATAATTAAACTCCACAATTTTAATACTGATAATGTCATGTTTCTTTCAAAGATACCAAAAACCATGTATATGAGTGAAATGTGCCAGCTACTAACAGGCAAATCCTACAAATTACTCAAAACAACTTGATTAAGTGTAAATAACATTGCTAATGAGATGTAACCTTACATACTCAGTTCTGTAAGGAATGTGACTATGTGAAATAGAAATCCACTAAAGATCTTGGAGATGTTGAATAAGAAGATAAAAAATTATAGAATATAAAAGGTGCATGGGTGATGATTCAGAAAAGTATTTTTCGTAGGAATAACCTGATATATCCATGAATTTATCTGCTGGTGCACTTCATCCACTATGGGCCCACGCAGAACTGTGAGAGGAACCTTGAATTGGGAAAGGTAAAATTAAACAAGGCAGATGTCAATCTCTTTAAAATCCTTTAACAGATGCTGCAACTTAAAATGTTATTCCACAGGAAATTTGATCCCTTCATACCTGACCATCAGTCTTGATTGGAACTGTGCCATTAGGGCGGAATATGTATGCTCCAGAAGCCTTTAGTTCAGGACAAAAGGAATTAGCATCATTACATATAAATCCTATTTTTTTGGGTAAAAGGGGATCTTTAGTGCACCTGAGGATCACTTGCATTTCCATCCTGTCCAATGTAATACTTGTATTTCTGCTCAAAATTTGCTTGAACCTTGAAATTTTGTTGATGTAGTAAGTTAGCACAGAATATATAGATCAATTTCATACAAAGCAATGTACACATGACCTGCTATGGAAAATAACGTTTGGAGTCTAGACTACTAATGATAAGTCTAACACTGGACCATGGCTAATCTTATGGGCGCTCAACTTCATTTCTGCGGGATGAAAGCACCGAATAAAAAGAAGTGCACACATCAGATCATCCACTGGCACATTACCTGAGTCTTACTATCGGAGTACAGGGATAATGTTCCAGCTGCATTATATTGAAGTTTCAAGTTGCCTTGACCAACTTGTAGATTACTACTTTCACTTCCTTGAGGTGAGTACTGACTGGACTTTGAAGACATATGTGCTGGATTATACATACAGAATTAGAAAGATATTTCGAGTAATAAGCCTTAAGTAGGTTTGAACCAAGAAGAAAGACCTCATACCTGATTTCTTCGAGTTTGAGACAAAGTAAGTATTGAAACCAAGAGGTGGTATAGACACAGGAAAAGCAAGCCAAAACTTGGGCTTTGCACCTGGCGTTATGCTCAGGTAAGCCTTGACATGCTTGTCTCTTATGTTCAACGAGGCAGTAGCTATAGGCAGAAGTTGTGATTCAATTTCTCTTCCTTCAGAATCATGAACAACAATGGAATCACTGAAAACCTGTTGATTCCAAATATTATCAGATTTAGCTTCATGATAGAAAAATAAATAAATAATAGAATATTAGATCGTGACTATAATGTCTTCTTTCAAGAAAATAGGGAAAATAATGCATACTGGTATACGAAGGATGTCTTCTCGTTTCCACCCAAGCGAGTTGTATACAAGAACAACCTATAACCACAGAAAGAAAACAATAGCTGATGGTAAGTCTTTTTTGGTTAAAAAGCATCATGCATGAATTTGAAAAAAGGTACTCCTTCCATTACAAATTGTAAGCTTTTGTAGATGTATAGCTTTTGCTATGCACCTAGATATCCATTATATCTAGATACATAGTAAAGGCTATGTATTTAGAAAAGCCAAAACGACTTACAATTTGGAACGGAGGGAGTAATGTTTTGAATTAGAAAGAGTCATGCATAAGCTAAGAACACTCACCAAGCTTTTTCCTTTAGTTAAGTCCATCTCAGCAGGAGGGCAATATGTAACATTTAGCAGAAGACACTGAAAAAAGGAGATATACAGATATATTATACTAGTAGTTTCTAAATAAAATAAAGAAATTTAGAAGTTAGAGCCTGATCCATATCCACCATTGTTTCTGATTTTAGGCATGTGACATTACATATTGTCCTAAACTAGGAAACATTAATCAAATACATTCTACATTGCAATATAAGGACATGTAGCTGCCTCCAACTGATATCAAAGTAGAATGTGGCTCTACTTTTTCACACTGAAAGAAAATGGTAAAATAAGCCACAGACTAACTTGTGACAATTTCGTCATTGGGGATGAGCAACGTGATATTGAGCCTGACTCTGTCAAGCAAGCAAGAGAAGTTGAAACGAGCTCCTGGGCCTGTAAAAGGAATTGGACCAAATGAAAGCTATCAAATACCAAAAGAAAGAACATCAAGCATGAATTGCAGTAATTCTATCAGCAAGCTCACTTGTGTATATCCAATTGACAATCTCTTTGCATAATCATTTGCAACATGTTGTTTCTCTGTTCCTGTAACAGCATCATGGTGCTGTGCAAGAGCTAGAGCATCACCTAGACTATCTGTTGAGAGACCTGAGCTATGTCTCCCTTTAAAGAACTCCAGCTGTCTAGCTGCCTGAAAACAGTTGAATACTTGACTATAAGCCCTCTACCAAGTAAGTGGCCAAGGAATTTATGAATACCATTAGGAAACCCGAAGCCAAGCATATAGTGGAAAAAGGATGTAAACAGTACCAGGTAATACCCACTCATCATGCGGACATATCGTTTTAAGGCAGGTCTGCTTGTAAAGTAACCTGTCCAATAGGCATTTGGGTTGTCTGCATATCTGGAAGAAGAAATACAATCATAACCAAGTGCACAGAAGAAAAAGCTAACCAAACCATATTTCGGGAAGAAAACATACGGGAAGAAATCATTAGTCTTGAGAGGCCACTGCTCATTTGCAGCATATTTCGCATCGGTATAAATTGAAGGTGTGGAATAAAGAGCATTGACACGGCCATCCTGGGTTATGGTCCAAAACAACAAGCATGAGAGTTCCAACATTTTTAACAACTTTAAGCAAGAAAACTTCACCGTTCATATTATAATATATGCCAGTTTGGACTGTTAGATGCCTAAAAGAAATAAGATTGCGTCCATAAGAGGAATAAAACAATTAAGCACCAATGTTTTAACCAAACTAAAAACAATAAAAGGAATCAAGTGTATCACGTGAACTAAACAATATATCATAATAATGAAAATTTGAGAGCATTGAAATGCATCAAATACATTTCGTACAGCTTAACTAAAAATCATCATGAAAATGGCTCAACAGATATGCAGATGCCATGACCTTTCATGATGGACTGAAAAATAACTGAACAGATATTCAGTTCTTTATAATACCCATGAATATCCTAACCTTGTTCACATAGTGAATTAGTTTGTCCATATTTCTGAACCAACTCTCTGCGTATTGGTATTTGAAGTCTGTTCCCATCGTAAACATGATATGGTTTGTCCTTGTGATATTTGCCTACAGAAAAGAAAGAAAGAAAGAAAGAAATATGACTCAGAATGTGAAGTTGACAAGTTGTATTTCTGAGTATGAATATTTTAGTCCAAATAACCACTAATAACACGAAATTCAGATAGTTCAAACTTGAAAGTAGCAAAGAACACCCTAGTTGCATTCTCACAGTCATAAATTTTAGCACTGAATAAGCAAATTGGAAGTGTAGTAGCATCAACCAAAAAGCTACTGGTCTCCTTGCAGTGTATATAGCCACAAAGAAAGTGCATCGGCACAAAAGATGAAAATACTGATAACTGAATGTACCTGTGCTCGTATTCAAGAAAAAAATGTACCTGTGCTACAGCTGCAGCAACAAAATCATTTACTCGTTCCTCAACATTATAATCGAAAAGAAGGGGATCATCCTGCGCAGAGGAAAACCAGGAATTGGCTTGTGCTAAAGGCTTGAATAATACACAATAACTATAGTACTGAACTTCTGATTAATTACCTGGACAACAGGGGAACTATCATCAACTTCAAAATAAAATTCACCAGGAGGTGGTTCATAGTTTTTTGGAAAGATGCCAGCAAAGATCTGAAAGAAACATACAGATTTGAAACAGAAACAAAACAAAGTGTCAAAAATTTGAAGTGGGTTAGCACTTAGCATCTATAGCATCATAGAAGTATTTGTAAATGCCTAAATGGAACATATATTGAGGTGCATTGTGTACTTTTGAAAAAGAAACAAGCCACTCACATCAGCCGATGAGCCCAAGGTCTTGGAGCCCCTCCATACAACCTCAAGTTCTTTTGTTCCCTTACGTGTATCACGGTCTTGGTAATCAATCCGGAAGAAATAGAAAGCATCAAATCCTACCTGACAGACAATAAAATGTCTAGTGAGCCATCTCTCTTCTAGTAAATCAAATGTGTTCCTTAAACACCACAGGGGCAACTGTTACTTCAGTTAAGAAATTGAGTTCGTTTTAGACAATAGTTCTGTGGGTGGTCAAAACGTGTGTTTACCTGTCAATCACACAAATATTAAGGGCAGTAGCAGAAATGACAATACAACAACAACAACAACAACAAAGCCTGTCAGTCCCAAACAAGTTAGGGTAGTCTAGAGTTGAAACCCACCAAGAGCCCCTAGTCACGGTTCAGGCACAGTAGCAGAAATGACAATAGATAATTAATTTCTGATTGTCCATGGCTACATGCTGCATATAAGTAGCTATATCAACAATACAATATCTAGTCCACAAAAGAAAAAGGTGAAATATCCAAACATTCAGGTTTCAAAATATTGAGCCTATTTCTATAATGATAATACAGACATTATTGTGGAATTGCATAAATTCATCATATCATGCAAATGGGACGAAACTTGACATGAATATGGTAACAGAAAATTACTTCTGCACCAAGAAGGTAAGCCTGAACTGCAGAGTGCCCAAACGGATCAATCTGCCAGCCAATCCGTGGGATCTGGCCAAACTCCTCCTTGATGTAGCTGTGCCCAAGTGTAGTCTGATCGATCATGTCAATGTAGTGTACAGCCGCCTCATCATGCATGCACATGCCACCATTTCTTCAACACCAGAAGCAATATGTCATTCACCACAGAACAAAAATAACTTTTGACAATACAATCTACAGAGTGGCAGCTACAAAACTTGAAGGAACATACATTAATTCCAGCCGTCCAGAGCTGATGAGCCCCTTCACCGTATCCTTGATCATGTCATTCTGGTTCCTCCACCATCTTTGGAAGAATGCCTGCAGTCGTACTCGTACATAACCACAAGTCAGAAAAAAGAAAAGTAAAAAACACTCCCATCTAATCAAAGATAACCCACTCTGCACTACTGCAGTATGCCATGAAGCGTTTGGATACAGAGTTGGTAATCTAACTTCCGTTCTCTGAGTCGGCAGCAAGGAACAGAGATTGTATAAATGTTCGCCCGAACCAACAGAATGGCCACAGGTAGACTCGCATTGCTTCCTATCATCTAATTTCACACAACAATTTGCCACAACCCAACTTACGCCGCATCGGAGGCTCGAAAGTTGCAAGTCACTACTATTTACCTGCTCAACATAGATGAATTTTCGGTTCTCATCCTTGAGCAGCGCCGGGATGAGCGAATCCAGCACGTTCTGGACGCATGCCCCCTTCAACCAGGAAAAACAAACAAACCAAATTAGTTTAAACAAAGTAGAGCAAAGTTGACGAAGAGCAAATTCAGTTCATTTAATTAGTTATTACGGATCCCCGAAACCGAAAGTTTGCGGAAGCGATAGCACGCCAATGCTAGTCTCCCAAAAAACAATCAAATTCCTCCGAAGTTTGGGGGGAGAACCGCACGCGAGGAAATCGGAGAGCAGCGGTCAGCCCGGCGGAGCAGGCGCCTCACCTGGATGGAGTTGTTGGATCCGACGTAGTACTGGTCTACGGTCTTGAGCCAGCCGACGTCGTCGTGGGTGTGCGGCACGACGTGCACGTTGAGCTTCCCCGGCACCACCCCCGCCGACGTGTTGTAGGGGATGTACACCGCCTCGCCCACGCCCGCGGCGGCGAAGATGGCGGCGAGGAGAAGGGAGAGGAGAACGGGGCCCATGGAGGCGGGCGCGCTAGGAGAGTGGAGCGTGGAAGGAACGGGAGGAGGTGCGGCGGTGGTCGCCGGGGAGGCGGAGACTGTGATGACTGATGACTGTGGCTGCGGCAAGCAGGTAAGAAGATGCGGGGGGCGGGGCCCACCTGGCGGGGGGCAACGACGCGCGGCGAGTAGTTGGCGCACTCGCTGCGCCACGTCAGCGTCTCGCGGGGTGATTTCTGCAAATGCTGAGTATTCTCTGTGAGGGGTTCCAAATTGGCCCCCCTTTATATCCGAAATATCCTGTGACTATCCATCCTATAATTTGGGTCACAACTCACAAACGGATTAAAAAAAGAGAGGAAAAGATCACGTAACAAAATTGACCGGCGCGGATGTATTTACTGCATATAGTTCCTACCGGTCAAAAATAGTTACATTTGACTACTATTTGCACCACGGAAACTATTTACAAATACAACAGCACTAGGTGACTCGACAAGTATCTTTGTGTGCGCACATTTTTCTTTTGTTTATAGACGAAATATATGAGAGTTATTGTTCGGAGGTTTGATAGGATATAGTAACACATTAGGATTAAATCATTGGGCACTACTTTGTTTTTCTAATATAATGTATGGTTATGTATATGTAAACATTGGAATCCTTGGTTCTCGACCCGTCTTGTGCTTACAACATGGTTATAGGTCAGGGGCAAAGCTAGTACGAATTTGATAGGTACACTTATCTCGTGATGCATGTATTTTTATCGCAAGGTGCATATATACAAATAATAATTGTAATCATTGTTTTTCCGTTTTTTCTTGGGTCTGCCCCTACCCTCTACATGGATCCACACCTGTTATAAACTTTATTTTGACATAACGTGTTTTTCATCTTTTATTTAAAAAAAACATAAGTTATGGGTGCACTCAGTACTGTTAGTTGTGGGCAACAGTCATAGTGGTATCGAGCAAGCTATGTGTTAGCACCGAACACAAAAAGCAACAATATGCAGAATCTACTCCTACCGGCATTTTAAATAAGAAAACAACGCTTGCAACAAGCGCTATGCCAGTTAGTGCCATAGTTCCTTCTTTTGCAAGGCCAGAGAGGAGGTGTACATGCATGGTTAGAGGTTCTTCACTATAATTCATAAAGTACTAGTGATTAGCGCGTGTCCTTGCACGCGGGTTGGCACCACAGGTATGTTTATGAAAAAGCACAACGACATAAGAAACAAAAACATGAAACAAAGCTAAGATGTTTGAAGATTATTAGAAACTTACCACATGTTAATAACATTGACCTTAAGATAGCTGACATAAAGTTCCGAAGCAAAGCCAAGATGTTTGATATTACAAACTTCACACATTAATAACATAGATCCTAAGATAGGTAATATAAAGGTTCAAAGGTACAAACTTAACACACGGTATAAACATAGTTCCTCAATTAGCTGACATAAAGGTCTCATGCAGTAACGCCTTTTTCTTTATTTACCATCCAACTGACATAAAACAACATGATAACAATTCATAATGTCCATTGCATCAATATTAGTTCTTCACAAAGTTACATAAGAAATACCGGAATATATCATTACACAAGCAGAGTAAGCTCGATCCAAGACACAAGATAGCATCAAGTAGGATAACCAGAAGTACAATAAAGGTGATCATGGGCTTCACATCCTCTCTCGGTTGAAGAGACCCTTGCTCATAGATTAGAGGCTCCGATTGTCAGGGCATCTGAGTGAAGTGTGGAGTATTAAAAGTGTTGGAAATTGATGGTTTCATTGGAATCCAGATAAGAGTTGTAGGTATTTCAAAATCCTAACACTACTCTGGTTTTGTTTTCTCCCAACGGAAATAGGTAAATACCTCAGGGGCCATTGTAAGGTCCTAATAGCTATAGGGGAGATGAATAGCCTAATAAAATTCTACAACAACACTTAATAAAATGTGTTAGACAATTTTGCGGCGAAGCGAGTGTTGCGCTAGCCTACTAAAATGCAAGCCACCTACCACAATTCTATTTTCGAATAGTGTATGTCCACACAATAGCTATGACACTTAGCTAAATTAGTGTGCTCTCAAAGACTAACTAAAGAGCAACACTAATCAAACAATCAAGCTCTCACAACTAGCTACATTAAAGAGCTTGATAACTAGTTTGCGGTAATGTAAGAGTAAGCAAGAGAGTTATACCGCCGTGTAGTGGTAGGAACCAATCAATCACAATAATGAATACCAATGTAGACCAATCACCTCGGAATCAAATGATGAACACAATGATTTTTACCGAGGTTCACTTGCTTGCCGACAAGCTAGTCCTCGTTGTGGCGATTCACTCACTTGGAGGTTCACGCGCTAATTGGCATCACTCGCCAAACCCTCAATAGGGTGCCGCACAACCAACACAAGATGAGGATCACACAAGCCACGAGCAATTTACTAGAGTACCTTTTGGCGCTCCGCCGGGGAAAGGTCAAGAACCCTCACAATCACCACGATCGGAGTCGGAGACAATCACCTCCTCCACTCAACGATCCTTGCTGCTCCAAGCCGTCTAGGTGGCGGCAACCACCAAGAGTAACAAGCGAAATCCGCAGCGAAACACAATCACCAAGTGCCTCTAGATGCAACCACTCAAGCAATGCACTTGGATTCACTCCCAATCTCACTATGATGATGAATCAATGATGTAGATGAGTGGGAGGGTTTTGGCTAAGCTCACAAGTATGCTATGTCAGTAGAAATGGCCAAAGATCCGAGCTTGAGCTGGCCATGGGGTTATAAATAGAGCTCCAGTGAAATAGAGCCGTTGTACCCCTTCACTGGGCACAACGCGGGGTGACCGGACGCTGGCCCTCAGCGTCCGGTCATGTGATTCACGCCACGTGTCCCCTGCTTCAAATGTTGTTCATCAGATTTCAACGGTCGCGAAGCTGACCGGACGCTCCCGTAAAACTGACCGGACGCTGAAGCCCCAGCGTCCGGTCGTTTCTAGTAAGCTCCCCGAGGCATGTTTTTTCGACCGGACGCATCCGGTCCACCTTGACCGGACGCAGCCAGCGTCCGGTGCTCAACCCTAGCCACTGAGTCGTCTGACAGCTCGACCGGACGCAGCCTTTCAGCGTCCGGTCGCTGAGTGACCCAGCGTCCGGTCAGTAGACCGACGCCAGCATCATTTCGATCAACTCCATTTCAACTCTTACTTCTTCACCCTTGCTCAAGTGTGCCAACCACCAAGAATTTTGCATCCGGCGCAATAGAAAATAGACATTTCATTTTCCCGAAAGCGACGAGAGAGGGACCCAAACCCATCTCAACCCTTCAAACACCTTGTGCACATGTGGTAGCATATTTACACAAATATTATCAAGGGTGTTAGCACTCCACTAGATCCTAAATGCATATGCAATGAGTTAGATCATCTAGTGGCACTTTGATAACCGCATTCCGATACGAGTTTCACCCCTCTTAATAGTACGGCTATCAAACCTAAATGTGATCACACTCTCTAAGTGTCTTGATCACCAAAATAAAATAGCTCCTACAAGTTATACCTTTGCCTTGAGCTTTTTGTTTTTCTCTTTCTTCTCTTCAAGTTTAAGCCCTTGATCATCTCCATGCTATCACCATTGTCATGTTATGATCTTCATTTGCTTCTCTACTTGAAGTGTGCTACCTATCTCATGATCACTTGATGAACTAGGTTAGCACTTAAGGTTTCATCAATTTACCAAAATCAAACTAGAGCTTTCAGCCATACAACCAAGCAGGGGCATCGAGTGGGAGTACAATTTGGTCATACAACTTTGCATAATCCTCTCCCCCTTGATCGGATACAAGGGTTTCTCACCTGGGAAAGCTCTGAGCACCTGGCAAAGTTGCCTAACATTCAACCAAATGGCTCTAACCAATCCTTTCCCATCAAAACGAGTGTTGAGCTTTCATGGGGCTAGTACGAGGCCTAGACTCGGCTGGGCTCACAAAACCCTGTACAACATTTGTGTCTTTTTCTCTAAATTTAGTCAAACATAAAATGTTTCACTTAAAAAACTCTATAAATTGATTTATCTTTTATTTATTCGGAGGAAGTAGTGTTGAAGAAGTTATAGACTTGCATTTATTCTAGAATGGGAGTATTATCAATGGTTCAACGTCATATGAAGCATTGTAATATATCCAACACGTGGCAAGAATGTGTTCCGAATGCTATACATAATAATTAAAGGTTTGACGTCTATTCGGCTGATATTAAAGCTGGCTGATAAGCTGGCTGAAGCTGTTTTATTGTGAGAGAAAAATACTATAGATTCTAACTGATAAGTCGACTGATAAGTTTAAGCGAACAGGCCATGCTGTCATCATATATATTCTTATTTACCCGCACGCTTAGCTTGGAACTTTTGCAAGTCTGTACTCGAGTCATGATTTGATAAAAAAAAGTGCTGTGAACTCATCGACGAAATCGGTTGGTGGCCATGAATGAATATACGAAATGGCAGCTTACACTAGTATATTGTTTCTGGTGGCTAAAGGAATGCACGTCACGTCACGGTGCCCAGTAGGCCAATACAAAATACAAGTGCTGTGCACGTTAACGTAGTTGGGTGGGCATTGGAGGGGGCCCTGTGCAAAAAGGGCATCGGATAAGGAGGGTGACGGGAACAGACAGATTGCAGATCACAGAGCTTGAAGAATCAAATCAAAGCCTCCCCCCAAAGAGGATGCCGCTCCCTGCACCCACGCCACGCCAGATCGGCCCTGATTGGTTGAACTGTGGCTGTGGGAGAAAGCTGTTGTGGGCTGTGAACTGTGGAAAAGTTGCTGTGGGCTGTGAGCTGTAGAAAAGCTGAAAGTTGTTTGGTTAAACAAGTATAAAATATACCTTTTATCTTTATCTCTCTTGAAACAACTATGGAAGAGCTTTTTATTCCACCAATTTCGAAAAGCAGAAAGCCAAAAGCCAAAAGCAGGGTCAAACCAGCTTCCTGAAAAAGCACCCTCCAAAAA